AAATGTGCTTTACACAATTGATGTATGCATGGATTGTGATAAGAGCTGTATGAGCCCTAATAAAATGATTAAAAAAAAAAGAAATACAAAAAAAGCCAAGGACACATGAGATGATTCTATCATTGCTTCTAAGATTGGTGGATACATTTTAAATAATACATATTACAATTTTTCTGAGTCAACAATTTTTTCAGAAAACCAATACAAATTATTTTGCATAAGTATTATGAGATTAAGACAATATTATAATAAAATGCTGCTGCTATAAGTAAAATGTAGCAATTACATCAAATGAGGAAGACAAATAAAATTAATAAAACTCAATTTACAAATGAGAAAAGTGATGCTGGCCATAGTTAAAAAGACACGGTTCATAAAAAAAAAAAAGATATGGTTCATATCCTTACTCTTTAAAACTGTGTCTGGAAGAACTGTTTTAAAAGCCATATAAGGAATATTCAACTTCTCACAGTGTTTAGTCCAATAGGAGTTTTCTGAATAATTGTATTCAACCACAAATGAGAAATTACTCCACGGGAAATCAGCCTCAATATATTGATTATGTATAACTACACAGGAACAGGAACTAAAGACAAAAGAAAGCCAAGAAAATGGAATTATATTTGTTGGTCATTTACTTGGAAGCCTAAATAATGCCTGTTTGTAATTTTTTTTCATATATCCTATTTATCTTGAAAATCAACACTAAATAAGAAATTTTAAAAAAATTTCAGACAAGTCAACTATCATTCACAGGCCTTTAGTGAAGGAACTATTAAAAAAAGAAAGTCCAGAAGAAGAAAGGATGTGGAAAAGATAATGCTAACAACATACACACACAAAAAAGGTAGAAACAAGAATAAGTATTAGGAGATATTTTCTATACTAACAAGTAGTAATACTAATAATGGAAAATTGAGGACATAAAAACAAGATAGAAATAAAATTCTGGACAACATTAATATGCAATGATCTCAGAGTAATATATATAGAAAGTATTTTTCGGGGGGAGCGGGGAGGGAGGGGAAAAATGAGGACCTAATGCCGGGGGCTTAAGTGGAGAGGAAATGTTTTGAGAATGATGAAGGCAATGAATGCACAAATGCGCTTTACACAATTGATGTATGTATGGATTGTGATAAGAGTTGTATGAGCCCCTAATCAAATGATTAAAAAATAAAAAGAAAGTATTTTTCAAGAAGAAGGTAGAGACATTGATTAACATCAGAGTTTAAAAAGTTTTCTCTTAAGTTAAATTCTAGGAGAAATTTTGCTTTGCTCGTTATGTATAAAAAAATATACTTTTTACCCATTTAAAACACCTGTAGATCCCAGGGATTTTTTTCTGTTATTTGAATGAAAGACAGTCAATATTAAACCTGATGGAAACAAAAGAGTAATACAAAAAAGGTTTTTTACCAGTGTTCTTATTCACATACGCTGTTTTTTCGTCTGTCATATACTGCAATGCTATAAATATTAATCAAAAGTGTGAATGAGGAAAGTACTTAAAATACAATTTGATTAATTAAGATGTTACTGAGTATGGGGATAAAAGAGCTCAAAACCCTCAGCAGTGTTTCAAGTGTGTCTATTATGCAAAACATTAAACTGAATCAAAACTTAACTTTAAAGCAATCAGATTTAAATCGTCACCAATTCTGTGCAGATAATTCTATTTTGTTAAAAACTGTGGTGGATTTTACTTTTTCAGCCAAAATGTTCAGTACATGACTGAATAATACAGAATCGCATCTCACCGTGGTCAGAGTGGCGCCTTTTCCCTCCTGTACAAAGCGGACACTATCTGTTTCCTAGAGTCATTCCTGTTTCTTAATTATAATTTAAATTTCTTATCTTACTTATTTTAAGTCAAATATAATAAAAAATATTTAAAGTCTGCAACCCATATATTTGTTGAATTTATGGGAGACATTGATTTAATAATAACTAATCTAGTTCAAATAAATTACATAATGTTAGCATATTTTGTCAACTGTAAACGGTTGATATAATGATAAAAATAATGTTTAATAATTTCAAGTTTACTTTACCATGACACGTTCAAATCCTGACTATCATTTACTATTTATAAGTTTTGGCATGCTAATCACCTTTATGAGGTTTAGTTAATTTGTCATGGATTTAATAAAACCTATTCATAGTTTCTTTAAGTAGTCTACATTATTTAGCAATTAATAGGCAATCAATAAATGGTATTCAGTTATGAATCATAATAAATATACTATAGGGCTGCAAGTTGAAATTTACTCCATGGCAATGAGTTGATATTGCAGGAGGCTTCAAAAAGGTCATGGAAAAATCCATTATCTTTTAATTCAACTTTCTATGAATTTGTTTGAAGTCCCTCGTATAAATACATCATGCTGTTGTCAGGTGCTGTCAAGCTGGTTCTGACTCATAGCTGCCCAATGTACAACCGAATGACATACAGCCTGGTCCTGCACCACCCTCACAGTTGTTGCTATGCCCATTGTTGTGGCCTCTGTGTTAAGCCATCTCTTTATAGGCCTTCCTCTTTTTCACTGTCCTTCCACTTTACCAAGCATGATGTTCTTCACATGTCCTGATAAGTTGTCCAAACCAAGTAAGATGAAGTCTTGCCATCTTGGCCTCTAAGGAACATTCTGGCAGTACTTCTTCCAAGACAGAGGTGTTTGTTCTTTTGGCAGTCCATGGTACTCTCAATAGTCTTCACCAGCACCATAGTTCAAATGCATTGATTTTTCTTTGGTGTCCCTTATTCAATGTCTGACATTCACATGCACATGAAGCAATTGAAAATACCACGGCTTGAGTCAGGAGTACCTTAGTCCTCAAAGTAACATCCTTGCTTATTAACACTTTCAAGAGATCTTGGGCAGCAGATTTACCCAATGCAATGCATCATTTGATTTTTTGACTTGTTTCCATGAGCACTGATAGTAGATCCAAGAGATAAAATCCGTAAAAACTTCAAGGATTTGGGTCTTCTTTATATTGATTTGTAATCCATACAGAAGGCTGCAATCCTTGTTGTTCATCAGTAAGTGCTTCAAGTCCGCCTCATTTTCAGCAAACAAGGTTTGTTATCTGCATATCACAAGTTAATAAATCTTCCTCCAATTTGATGCCATATTCTTTGTGACAGAATCCAGCTTCTCAAATTGTTTGGTCAGCATACAGATTGAATAAATATGGATACAGCCCTGATACATACCTTTAAAAAAAATTTAAACCATGCAGTATTCCCTTATTCTGATCCCACAACTGCCTCTTGATCTATGTTCAGGTTCCACATGAGTACAATGAGTATTCTGGAATTCCCATTCTTCTCAAGGCTATCCATAGCATATTGTAATTCACACAGTAAAATGCCTTTGAATAGTCAATGAAACACAAGAAATCATCTTTCTGGTAAACTCTGCTTTCATCAATAATAATATCCCTTGTTCATGTCATCTTCTGAATCTGACCTGAACTTCTGGCAGCTTCCTGTCAATATATTGCTGCAACCACTATTGGATGATCTTCAGCAAAATTTTAATGATATTAATGATATTAAAATGCGAATGTTATGTAATTTGAGCATTCTGCTGGATGAACATTCTTTAGAATGGTTACAAATATGGATGTTTTCCAGTTGGTTGTTTTTCAAATACCCTGGCACAAATGAGTGTTTCCAGTGCTTCATCAGTTTGTTGAAACATTTTAATTGATACTCTCTCAATTCTTGGTTTTGGTTAATGCTTTCAATGAAGCTTGAACTTCTTCCTTCAGTATCATTGGTTTTTGCGCATATGCTATCTCTTGAAATGATGAAATGTGGACTAATTCTTTGGTGCAACAACTCTATATATGCCTTCTGTCTTCTTTTGATGCTTCCTGTATCATTCAGTATTTTCCCCATGGAATATTTCAATATTGCACCTTGAGACTTGAATTTTTTCTTGATTTCTTTAAGTTTAAAATATGCATGTTCTTCCTTTTTGGTTTTCTAATTCTAGTTCTTTCATATTTCATTATATTTGTCTATGTCTTCTTGAGCTGCCCTTTGAAGTTTCCTGTATAGCTCTTTGAGTTCATAATTTTTCCTATTTGTCCTAGCTACTCTATGATTAAAAACACTATACATTACAGTATTTTATATTTCAAATTTATTATTAAGATTGAATTTAAAATTGGCTATATTGCACTTGCACATCTTTAAAGGGTGAATTTTACGGTATATGAATTCTATCTTAATAAGAAAACTAGTTACATCAAGACATTTGGTGCGCACAAGCATTTGTTATCCATGCATCATAGTTCAAAACGTCCTACCTTCTATTTTGCTAAGGATTTTAATGAGTAAATGTTTTTCACCATCTGAGTCCATTCTTATTATTATTAGTACCTAGTAAAGAAAAGAGATTTTGTATATATATTTGAATAGCTATTCTTTTTCACAGTTTGGCTGCAATGATTAAATAACAAACTTAACTGGTTACATGAATTCAGTGACAAGATTTTAAAATAAGTATTTGTGTTTTAAAATATGTCAGTGAGTAAACACAAATGAGTGAATTCTGGTAGGATCAAGCATACATGAGGAAAATATTTGGGGGTGAGCATTTTTAGCCTTCCTCAAGTATTCCCATATAGGTTACCCTATCAATAGGTCGGTTGTTTTTGCCTGTATGGTTAGGGTGAAACTTAATACAGACAACTGAATATTTTGGAGAAAACTAATGACTACTTGCTGCTTTATTTTCCTAACTACCACTGTAGTTTTATAGGGAAGGGAGGGCAGGGATTGGACAGCAAGTCAGTCCCAATTTTAAACTTCTTACTCAATAATATTATTTTTTTAATGACATAAGCAAGTTACTCAAGAAGCTACAAAACTGGGGTTAATAATTCAAATATAGGAAAGGATAAAGAGGAAAAAAAGAATTTTAGAAATCATACAACTTTGTATCCATTTGAAGTATTTTTCTGCTTGTAATATTTTAGAAAGCAATTCCATGAAATTCTTGAGATAAGGAGGGCTAGTAAGTTCTAATGTAATCTAAGGCATAGATTCACTGCTTAAAAAAAATAGAATGAGATTTAAGCTCAATATCTAAAAATGAATTATTATAGTTCTATAATTATGTATATGTTCATGGTCTCATCATTATTGGGTAAATATTTGATCAATGGAGAAATGAATCCTTAAAAATTACATATAATAAACATTAAAGTATTATTTATTTCAAGACATGGATAAGATACAATCATCTTTTCTGTTGGTCTGATTCTGTTCTACCAGCTTAATTAAGGAGAAAGCTGTCAAGAGGCCACATATTTTTAAACTTCAATGTTAAATGTAAAAATATTTTATATCCAGCTCTTATTTAAGCTGATTATTTATTTGCTTTATTCCAAAAGCTTGCCTTAATTTGCTCTTGAATTTGGATCCACCTTAGTATTTGACACTGTAATTTTTGTATCTTGTAGTTGGTTTCAGGATTTCTTTTCCTAATAAACTGCACAATCTCCAGCTGCCTCCAAATGTCATCCAAGCAGGAGCCTAAAATGCTTTTGTACACATCCTTGGCATTTGACAAATACCCTGTTAGAAACAAAGTATAGGGAAAAAATTAATACTTTTATGTCTTTTGAGAAACTTCAAGGTAAAACAATGAAAGGAAATAAGAGAAAAAGAAAAAAAAGTTAAAATTTCCTTCAATCTTTTAAAAATTTTGCTCAAATATATAGCCAAGAAAACCTTAAAACTGAGTAAAACAGAAAATAGATACCAAATGTCTCTTTTAACAACAAAGCATAAGATATTGGATATATTCTAGATATTCTCTAAATATATCCCAGGTTTTTCTGCTTCTATGGCCAGCTGCTCCCACAAAGATGATAGGCTAGCAACTGTATGGGGGCAGTTCTACTGTCCCTAAAGGGTCACCATTATTTGGAATGAACTCAATGGCAAGCAATAACTACAAAATAGCTTATTGAATGCTATTGTGCTCTTTCTAAATCCCAGGATCTATATTTATATGCGGGTCTTGTTAAAGTGCCACCTCAGTGGAATTCTATCTAAATAACTTTTATACAATATAATACTTTGTACTCTGTTTCTTATTATTTGTGACTTACCTAATTTATAAGCTTTCAGGATCAATACATGATACATATTAATTGGTATAGCTGCTAAACCAGCGTGTCAAAATTGAGACACACAAAGAGCAATGTTTCAAACATTCGGATTCTGAAGACCTATCCTTGAAGATTCATATTCAGTCAATCTAGATTGTGTTCCAGGATCTCGGTGTCTAAAAGACTCTCTAAGTTATTCTGTTGCAAAGGGAGTTGTGTGACTACTTCAATAGGGCACCTGGCATAGTAACTTACGGAGATCAGATGCTCAATGAATATTTGGGTAATAAATAATAGATTTAAAGGATTTAGGTAATGTCCATATACATTATGCCCAAAGTGCACATTCGTTTTGATTTTACATTAGTGGTGTTAGACTGATGGGCAATTTAGAGATTGTCTTATGGGTTTATGCCTCCTAGTCTCCAAACTTTCTGATGACTGTCTTTTAAAACTGCCAGCAGATTTAATCTTCTAAAAGACAAATATGGGGGAAGGTAGAGGGAGAAGTGAGAGAAAAGGGGGAACTGATCGCAATGATCGACATATTAACACCCCTCCCCTCAAAAAAAGGGGAAAACAACAGAAATGCAGGTAAAGGGAGATACCGGTTGGTGTAAGATCAAAGTAATAATGATTCATGAATTATCAAGGGTTCATGTGGGAGGGAGGGAAGGTGTGGGAGTGGGAAAAATGAGCTGATACCAAAGGCTCAAGTGACAGAAATTGTTTTGAAAATGATGATGGCAACATATGTACAAATGTGCTTGACACAATGGATGGATGTATGGATTGTGGTAAGAGCTGTATGACCCAATAAAGTGACTTTTAAGAAGGGGTTCATGAGGTTGGGAGGGCTGGGGAGGAAGGGAAAAAAGAGGAGCTAATACCAAGGACTCAAACAGAAGAAAATGTTTAGAAAATGATGATGGCAACATATGTACAAATGTGTTTGATACAATTGATGTATGGATTGTTATATAAGCTAAAAGAGGCCCCAATAAAATTATTTTT